TTTTAATCTTCTATTAATGATTCTTTGATTTAAATGGACTAGAATTATTGATTGTATATCTCAATCAAGGTATTTTTGGGGAAAATATCATTAGCTTATGGCCAATAGTTAAATGAAGGTTTCAAAATATATATAGCCTTAGTTACATTAATTTTATTTAGAGTTCTATGATTGTATAATGCCGTATCTATGAAAATAGATTTGTTAGCCAAAGGCAAAACAAAATAAAACAAAACTACAATGAGAAAAAAGTTATAAAGAGCAAAATAGATTATTTTATATCAATATTAATTTAAGGTTAGTGAGTGGCTTTAAATGTAATTTTATTAGAAATATATTTAATGTACTTTGAGGTTTGATAATTCAGGTTAATTTGACTTGGAACTGTATTTAATAACATTTGTAGAGAATTATAAATTGATATGTGTTTTTCTCTGGCAGTAAAGTGTTGATTAGAAATTAATTTGTTGTGATTTTTGGTAGTATCATGAGAGGAGAAATGTATTAAAGCTTAAAAGCCTAAATTTTAGAATCATAGAGAAAGGAGAGTTTAGAACAAATACTTTTTGGGTTGATGATGACTTTTGACAGTTATTAAAGCTATATAATATCAAATTTTGACCCAGAAGAGGAAAATGGGTTAAAGCAGGCTGAAAGTAGACACAGGGAGCCTGGTTAGGAGATTACTACAGTTTTCCAAGTGGTGGATGATGTAGATCGTATCAAACATTGTATGAGTGTGAAAATTTTGTGTGTGAGTGTGAAAATATGTGTGTGTATACCTATCTGTGCATAAAGAATGGGATATATTATAGGTAACTTGGGTGGGAAAATGGGCAAATTACATACCTGAGAAGATTTTGAACCATGTACCTGCAGTTTACTTGATGACTCAAAGCTTGACTTACAAGTGTTAAATGTTTACTCTTAAGATATTTTCTAAGAATAATGCTTAAAAGTATAAGCAGAACAAAGTAAAAAATGGCCTCATTCATCCTGTCACCTTGAAATGGTGATTATTATCATTTTGGTATACTTTATTCCTGTCCTTGTTTCTTCCTGTGAATATAGCTTTACGTTTTAGGGATATTTTTGGATATACATTTGTATGTCAAGGACTGTGAAGGGTCTGAGATCTTCCCTACTGGCATGCTAACAGGTGAGCCTGCCTCAGTTGCATGGATGCAGGCAGGTGACAAGAGACTTCTGGGCCAAAGATAAAGGACTTTATTGCAAATGGCACAGAATGAATAATTAGTATATTTGTGTCAATTCTCCTTTCTCCAAGTCTCATGGAGACCAGTCGGATGGACTGGATGAACACATACATGCAGTCGTTTGTATTATCGGAGAGCAACCCTGAGATTAGAGAATCCGAATATTTTATAATGGTCAGTAACATGCCTACCTGCCTTTTGCTCTAGAAGGAGACACTATTTTATAGGGCAGTAAGCGTGTCTACCTTTTGATCCAAAAAGATATACCACTTCTGTCTTTGAAAGATTGTCTCTATACAAACATTCTTGAAAGATTGTCAGAAAAGAAAATAGTGCCTGTGCTTGTAAAATGTACAGAAACATGAGTCATAGAGAATTATTTCTCAACAAGCATAAATATTTTCCCATGTCACTAAAGTTTTTTAATTAGCATTTAAAATAACTGCATATGTCTGTAAAAATGCAGTTGTAGGCCGGGCGCGGCAGCTCAGGCCTGTAATCCTAGCACTTTGGGAGGCTGAAGCAGGCAGATAATGAGGTCAAGAGATGGAGACCATCCTGGCCAACATGATGAAACCCCGTCTCTACTAAAAATACAAAAATTAGCTGGGCATTGTGGCCCATGCCTGTAGTCCCAGATACTCAGGAGGCTGAGGCAGGAGAATCACTTGAACCCAGGAGGCGGAGGTTGCAATGAGCTGAGATCACGCCACTGCACTCCCGCCTGGTAACACAGTGAGACTCTGTCTCAAAAGAAAAAAAAAAAAAAAGATGCAGTTGTAGAGATGTAGTCAATTTACCTCCAGCCCCCAATTTTCCTAATATTGGTCCTTTAGTTTGTTTTCATTTAAAAAGCTTCACTTAGATATTTCAGTTTGGAACAGAGGGGATAAAATGTTGCAGTCACCTTGTGTGTTATGGTTAAAGTTTGGAATAGCAGATAGCAAATAGACTCTCTCTGATTTAAAGTCTATATAGCCTCTTCAGCTTCGCCCTCTGTGTAAATATGTACTGGCTGGAAGCCACAAGCATGTCTATTGTCTCAACTGTTATCCAAAGGCAGACAGGCTCTGTGAAGCTGGATATTAATGCTGCTGGTGGTAGTCCAGCCTGTACTGCTTTTCTTCTGGAAAATGGAGATATTTCCTGACATGTTCTGCTGCTCACACATCTGTGTGAGCTTCAAACAGAAGCTCCTACTGCCAGGCATTAGTGGGGCCCAGAAAACTCCATATAAATCCCTGCAGTGAAAAGGGGAATAATCTGAGATCCAAATAATGACCACCTTGTCCAAACATCTGGAGAGGGCCTGGTCTGGTGATGGGGATTAAAGAAAGGCAAAACAGGATCATGATCAGGTTTTAGTCCTGGGGCTTGTGTGCAAGGGAAGCTCCCATTGTGGAGGCTTCCTTGGAGCTGTGGGGTACTTCCAAAGTATCTAGAATGTTTCAGAAGAGACACAAATGGTGGGGATAAGACTTTTCTTGGTGGAAAGGAGGATTCAACGAAACGCACCCAGGAGAGCTATTTCCTACTCAAAAATCATCCCAGAAAATTCCAGGTTAAAATTTGTGACAGATGTGGTCATAAAATTATACTGTAAAGATGGAAGGGGGTAACTTTCAAACTTTTCTGAATAAGCGATGACTGTAGGTTAAGCAGGAAGCAAAGCATTCTAATTTTTTTAAAAAATGGGAGGAAGAGGCATCTGGTGATATCTGCAAAGTCTGTAAAAAGTGAAAAATGAACTTCTTCCTTGAACTAACATTTTCAGGCACCTGCTATGTGCTAAGGGATCTTCTAGAAGTTTGAGAATTGGTGGTATATAAGATTGGTGAGGTCTCAATTTCATGGAGCATCAAATCTAGAAAGCAAATCATAAATAAGGTTCTATCAAATGGCGAAGAGTGCTATGAAAAAAACGAAGCAGTGTAATGTGACCGACCACCGATTTGGACAGAGGTGGTCCAAGTCAGTGGTCTGTCACAGACATGCAAGATGAAGAGCTATGTGAGGCAAAAGCACAGAAAGGCAAAGCCTGTGAGGTGAGGACATGGGTAACATTTCTGAGGACTAGCAGAGACCTGGAATGAAATATGCCAGAGCCTAATGATTGAGGAAGGAGGAGAGGAACAGAGGCCTTCAGAGAGGTAGTCAGGGCTGGTTGATATAATGTGTTGCAAGCATCAGTAAAGGGTCTGGATTTCAAGTCTAAAGGGTGATGCAATGGGTCTTTATTTTTTTTATTTTTATTTTTTTTGAGACGGAGTTTCACTCATGTTACCCAGGCTAGAGTGCAATAGCGTGATCTCAGCTCACCGCAACCTCCGCCTCCTGGATTCAGGCAATTCTCCTGCCTCAGCCTCCTGAGTAGCTGGGATTACAGGCACGCACCACCATGCCCAGCTAATTTTTTGTATTTTTAGTAGAGACGGGGTTTCACCATGTTGACCAGGATGGTCTCGATCTCTTGACCTCGTGATCCACCCGCTTCGGCCTCTCAAAGTGCTGGGATTACAGGCTTGAGCCACTGTGCCCGGCCTGCAATGGGTCTTTACATAACACAATGGTGGAATCTGAAAGATGCCTTTACTCTCTTTACCAAGAAGATCAATGAGTAAGCTTTTGTAGTGGCCCCCAATGCATGATGCTGATGATTCGTTGATATTTTTATAGTAGTGCATGAGTTTAGATAAGGGACGTACTTTCAAGTAAAACCTACTGAAGTTGTCAGTGTGCTGGCTCTGGATAGAGAAAGAAGGAAAGAACTCAAGGATGACTTCTAAGTTCAGGGTTTGCGCTACTTAGTGTATGTAGTGTAATTACTGAAATAAGGAAGGCTGAAGAAGTAATTGTTTTCAGTGGGATGGCAAGGGAACATCACTAAATGCATTGAAAATAGAACAGGATTTCCAGTAAATATCTCTGCCCAACTTCAAAAGAAAATCTTGTATGAAAAACATAATACATGAAATGCTACCCAGTTTGGGGGAGTTTTCTTAGAGTAGCTAGAACCTTACTTGGTGCTATAGTTTGCATGTTTCCCCCAAAAGTTCATGTGTTGGAAACTTAATTGCCAATATAACAGTATTAAAAGGCAGAGGGCATTAAGAGGTGCTTAGATCATGAGGATCATAAGGGTAGAGTGCTCACAAATGGACTAATTCCCTTATCTCAGGAGTGAACTAGCTCTTGAGAGAGCAGGTTGTTATAAAAGCAAGCTTTGCTTGATCTTGTGGTCTCTTTCACACTTGCTCACTTGTCCTTCCACTGTTCTGCCACATTAGTACAAAAGCCCTTGCTGGAAGCTACCACCATGACCTTAAACTTCCCAATCTCCAGAATCATGGGCCAAATAAACATTTTTTCTTTATAAATTATGCAGCCTCGGTTATTATTTTATAACAACAGAAAACAGACTAAGATTCTTGGCAAATTGATGGATGGATAGATGAACGTATGTATGTTTGGATGGATGGTTGGATAGATGGATAAATGTGTCAGCAATGAATGCTCAAATTAGCTCCCTCGCATTTCTAATATGTGTCTACATCTATGAAGTCATTAAAAGATTCCTCTCTCAGTGGCTGTAGTGTGCAGGTCTGAGGAATTCTGACCCAAACGATTTTGTCCATTCTGAAAGCCAAAGAGCTAGTTTGTCTTGAGTATTATTCATAATTTCTTCCCATTGAGACAATACTCTGGTTCATTTCAAATATAAATGCCAATTCTTTGGGTTTTTTTACTTTATAAAAATGATCTCAATAATCTTTATTTTACCAGACAGGAAGCACTACTTGCAGCCATCAGTGAAAAAGATGCAAACATTGCTCTGCTGGAATTGTCTGCCTCCAAAAAGAAAAAGACACAGGAAGAAGTCATGGCCCTCAAGCGGGAAAAAGACCGACTAGTGCATCAATTAAAGCAGCAGGTGGGGCCTCCTGCAAGAAAGGTGTGTTTTGTTGGGTTTGGGGCTTTGGGGGCTTTCTCTGGGTTTTAGCCTCTCTTCATTTTCCCATGTCCATCCTGTGGGCTCAAGCAGCTAAAACCAGGTAGGAGCACAATGGTCCCAGTTGTCGCTGGACCACCATTTTACTGCCTGTCTGTGTTTATGTGCATGTGGCTGGGCTTGTGTGGTTTGCACCCAGTGCTGTTTTCCTTTCTTTTGTGTCAGCCTCATCTCCCCAGAAAAAGCTCTCAGACCTCTTCCTTCCAATGGACTTTGTTTGACTTCTGATTAAATTCTAGAAACTTACAATTAAGTTCTGGGCAACTTCTTTCCTGTTGGACCTGTTACCTTCCATCTTGCTCACTTCTGGTCCCTGTAAATAACTGCCCTCATCTAGGTTTTTAGGTTTCTTTCTCTCTATTCTTCCAACTTTAGTTCTTGGACTATTTCCTCCAACACCCTTCAGACAAGGACCATCTCCTAGCACTATCAGACTATGCTTAGAGAACACCCAGCTATTATTCACTCTAATTTTTAAAAATCACCTGTTTGCCCCATTATCCTGTGTTTTCTCCTTTCTAGGCCACTGTATTTGTTTTGAGGGACATGGAAGGAGGGGCATAGTTCTAACTTATACAGAAAGTTTCTTGCTCTTTGGAGGGTTTTCTGGAAGTGGCTTAAATGAAAATAATTATACCTGAAGCATATGGAAAATCATCCATGAAATCTTCTCCTCCTCATGTAACTTGGTGACTCTTATAAGCAATGATTAAAGCTATTCACTAAGATTCTAGTTCATTATGAAACTCACTCAGCTCGATGGTTTATGACCTTGCAGGGTAGCTACCACATTTTAGCTAGGGCCATATGTGGCTCTGAAGCTCTCTAATGGCCACACAGTTACCATGTGGAGTGTGTCCATATTGACTCAGCCCCTAGGGCAAGCTCTCTGCCTGCTAGAGTGATCTATGCTGAGCACCATGGGCAAGGTGAGTGGAAGGGAAACCTGAAGGAGTAAGTACACTCCCCTTCCAGTGTGACCAACCCTTATCCCTCGGGAATGAAAAGGCATACAATTGGCTCTGCCCCAGAGTTCATTTCTCATGGGGCTGCCTTGTTCAGAGAGACAGAGAGAGAGAGGAGACAAAGAGCGAGAATGAGAGAGAGAGAGAGAGGCCACTACTGTGCCTGGGCACCCTCTCCTTGTAGAGGGAGGGTCCCAGTCACTGCCAGACACTGGGGTCATTCCACAGAGTGGCATGCCTTGCTAATGCTGGTCTCAGGGGTCGGGGATTGCTTACACCTGACCTTTTTGTTTGGAGCTGTGCATCTTTTCCACTGAGTTTTCCACCCACTTGGCCACAGACAGTCAAAATGAGCATCCTTCTTTGCTTTTCCCTATTCCTTCCCTGTGCCTTGCCCTCCTGCACCTAACCATTGTAGCTTTCTCCCACAGGTTTATAGACCTAAGAAACAGCTTTCGAGCTCGAATATACCATGCACTTGTGGTGCTGGCTACAGTCCAGATATTACGGCCAAGTACCATGTGTCCAGCTACGATGCATACATGATCCAAAGGTCTCAGGTCAGTCAGCTGCTAAAGAGACACTTGCCCCCACTATTGGGGTTGGGGGTGCGTAAGAGCTCATCCAACCTTGACCTTTACCTCTTTTGCTGATTTCTAATACTCTACGGCTGTAAAGTCTGAGACCATAGATGACAGCATTATATCATGATTTGCAGTGTCATTTCATTTATTGTCTATATGCCAATGGTTCCAGACTTGGCAGCCATCTGATAGGGTCAGCTCTTGCTGCATTAGCTTGGTGGAGCTGCAGAGCCAAGGCCGCCAGAAGCCTTCCTGTCAGATAGAGTGAATAATTTTTGCTTTCTTTCTCTTAGATACTTTGCTCCTCATGTTTCCCTCTACTTTTCCCAATAAGGAATTTTAAGACTGCCTTTTTTCTTTCTCAGCATCATGAAAATGCACTTCTTGATTCCAGTAAGGATTGAGCATAGTCCCTCAGATTTCTCCTGGGAACCTGCACAAAGCCTATATTGTCTACAACAGTCCTGGTTTTTGGTGTCATGGGGTACATTTGGGAAACCCCAGCTATGCAGAGTTCAGCTTCTATATGTGCTAAGGCAGTGTCTGAAGGGCTGCCGTGGAGAAGGAGGCAGTGAAAGAAGAGGATGGGCTTCTTGGTGATTTAGGTCTGATATCCTTCCTCATCCCACTCACCAAAGAGCAGAAAAAATCACCTGAATTTCAATATCCTTATTGCCAATGATAATGACTCTAAAAACAATGATTAATGTGCTGTCAAAGTAATCCCCTTTTATTGAGCATTTACTCTCTGCTAGGTGGTGTATCCAGTGTCATTCAGAGATGTTGTCCCATAGTCCTCTTGGCAACCTGTGAGTGTGTGCAGGATTATCTCCCTTTTCTAGGGAGCATAACAGGCTCAGCGTGTGGAATAACCAGTCCAAGGATTCACAGCTTGTAAGTGACAGGACTCAGGCTTTAGAAAGTCTACTGGATTCCACGCATACCCCACCAAGTTCAGGGAGGAACTCAGAATGTCAAGCAAAATGATATTCCCAGAAATTGTGAGGGTCTCCTTATCTTCATAAGCCTAAAGTGGATGCCAAAAAAACCATTTAAGAATGTTCTCCAGCTGTTCACAAACAGTAGGTTCTGCCTGGAGTTCTTAGGCGTAGGCTCTTTGATCACATCAACAACAGTTACTAATACTTTTGAGCTCTCATTATGTGCTAAGCATGGGTCTAAAGGCTTTACGTACATCAACTCGACACCTCCCAGCAAGACTAAGGGTTTGATACTCACGGAGGAAGAGCCAGAGGCCCAGAGAGGTTAGGCATCTTGCTCAGCCTCAAAGTTGGATACACCATAATGCTTAAGGAGACCCTTAGCCAGACAATCATAAAAGATGATACCCAAAGTCAAACTGCTTAAGCTGAATCCTGTTTCTAGCATTTATTAGCTGGGTGATCACAGGCAAGATACTAAACCTTCTTGAACCTCAGTTTCCTCATCTGTAAATTGGGCTAACAATTCAAAGAGTTATTGTGAGATGAAAGTTAAACCATGTACTCTGCACATGCATGGCACATAATAGGTGCTATATATATGTATAAGCTGCTATTGTAACTACCATTACTATTAATACTACTAGTAGTGCCACTACTACTACTAGTTGATATTATCACTGCCAACCCTCAGAGGTAGTTTAATTTTGATTTCATCATTACTGTTTTTGCACACAGCTGGGCACATGTTGAGAATACATTGTTGATCTATGGCAACTGTGGAAGAAAGAGCATATAGTTGTTGACACCTAAGCCTTCCTGGTCCACCTCTCCTAAAGCCAACGCATTTGTGGAGCAGTGAGCAGACATGCCAGGAACCCTGGACCCCAGGTCCCAGCCTGCACTGAGGAGGCCATAGCACGTATGAAATTTGCTTGGTTTGTGTATGCAGCCCACATAGATATCAATGAGGGAGGGCAGTCCTGGGAGGGTGAGCCCCAGGCCTCAGTTGTCTTGACCTGCATAGCTGACTTGGAAGAGCAGAGCTCTTTCAGGGACCAGGCCAATGAGAAGGGAAGGCCTGGCCTGCTCAGTCTTCTGTGCAGATATTGAGGCAGACTGGCTCATGAGAGATGCCACCCTCTTCAGATTGCCTTCTTTTTTCAAGATATGGTCTCACTCTGTCACCCAGGCTGGGGTACAGTGGTGCAGCCACAGCTCACTTCAGCTTCTACCTCCGAAGCTCAAGCAATCCTCCCACCTCAGCAAGGAGCCCAATATGGCTGGCATGGAGTGAGCAAGGAAGCAAGGAAGTGAGTTGTCAGATGAGTAGAGTAGACTGTAGCACTCCTAGGCAGGATCTGCTAAGAGTGGTGTACTCTGAGGCAGAACTTCTGTGCAGTTAGGAAGCAGAATCCACTAGCTCTGCAGGCTTAGAACAGGGAGGGCTCCCCTCGGCACCACTCTGGACTGCCCTGTTTAAGGCTGCCCTAGTGAGCCCATTCTCCACATCCCCGAACTCCAGCCTCCATAGAGTCTCAAGGTACTTGGTTTGCCTTTTTAGGGAACACTGCTACTTCCATTGGAGCCACGAAAGAGAACTCATGCCAGAATTTGCCTGTCACGCCTGACAAGATTTTTAAGTAGTATGGGAGCAGGGTTGATGACAAAATACCTTCCCTGACTTTCTAGCAGTCTCAACAACATGCCAGCAGAGTCCAGGTCTTGACCTTCCTTGCTGTCAAGAGACATGCAGGTAGATAAGAGTGGCCGTTACCCTGCTATTGGCCTGCACTGGGGGTTGCCTGTGCCTAGGAGAAGAAGTACATCTGGCCTCCAGGCCAGGCCAGCTGTTTTCAAACTTCAGTGGGCAGAAACATAATCCTTTCTAAAGATAAATCTCAGGTTACACTCATCACCTTCCAGTCCTTACTGCTGAAAACCCTTCCCAGCCTACTCTAGGTGTTAGGATAAATACAAACTCAAACCAATGTGCTCTGTATCTTGCACGTACCCTTCCCTTTGCCTGGAATGTTTTCCCCTCTTTTCTTTAGCTAGTTAATGCCTACTCATCCATTCAGTCTTAGTCCAACATCACTTCTTCGGGGAAGTCTTCTGGGACTTGCTCAATTGGGTCAAATCTGCCAAGTTGACACTTTTCAGCACATGTATTATCCATTTTATAGCACTGGTAACAGATGCAATTTTGTATCTGTTTTGTGATTATTTTAATAATGACTATCTGCCTTGCTAGTATTGAGCTCCATAAGGCCTGAGAATATGGTAACATGACTCCTAACATGCTAGTAGGCATTCAGCAAATATTTGTTGAATGTATGAATGAATGAATAAATCATGAAGGCAGATTCTTAAGAAAAAAGGCATCATTGATTAATCATGATCCTCCTTCCTTGTAGATAAGACTTAGCCTCATAATTCTCACTCCAATATTC